AGGCACAGACACAACGAATAAAAATATATTTATATAAATGTATATTTATATTTAGATGTATAAATAAAAAATATATTCATATTAATGTATGAATCATTTATATTTTTTGAATATTTATTTTTAATAAGAAATTAAAATTATTAATTATATTAGAAATACTCAACTTAAGATTATATATAATCATGAATTATAAATATGAAAAATATAATTATTAAATTTAGTTTAAAAATATATAAATCTTAAATTTATTCTTTTAAAATATTGTATCAACTAATATTTAAAAAATATATTAAATCTATCAAACATTTAAATATAATATTTTTTATTGTAAAAAATATAATATTTTCCCATCATTTATTGCTTTCAAATTTTTTGCCGAAGTTCAAATCTCATTATTTCCATTTTACATTATATTCTTTTTTTTCTGGCATTGGTCATACTATTAGTATATGTATTATTGTATATCTCTTAACACAAACGATGGTGTTAGCTTAGTGGCTCCACCCTATATCTTTCATTTGCGTGACTCAGGTTTGAGTTTGCCCAAGACCCAAATTTTACTTCTTTGTAACTTAATTTTCTTCTAATTAGGAGGTGACATGTGTCACCAATAACACATATCATGATCATGTGTTAACACATGTAAGATCCTGATTAAATGATTAATTTATTAAATTTTATTTAATTTAGGACCAAATTGATAGCATATATAATTAGGTGGTAACACGTGTCACCAATGACACGTGTCATGATCATGTGCTAACACATGTCAGATCCTAATTAAATGATTAATTTATTAAATTTTATTTAATTTAGGACCAAATTGATTATATAAATAATAAAGACTGAATGTGTAATAATGTCAATTCCTTTGAACTGCCACATCATCATTTTTATCAATTGGTAACGACTAGTGGCTTAGTTGAAATAGTTAAATAATTATGTGGTATGATTGATAAATTTTATCAATTCCTTTTATATCCTAACTACTTTTTTTAATTAAAAAATTTCTTCAACAGATAAGAATTATACTATTATATTTATATAAAAAATACGTATCACATGAAATAAGATGAAATTAAATAATAATAACTTTGACATAATTGAATTTAATTTAAGTATTTTGGAATTTAGGGTTTAGAATAAAATTGAATTACTTTGGAAATTGGGGTTTAGAATGAAATTGATGATTGTTTTGCAAGTTTTAAAAGTTGGGGGACCTAAATTCAAGTGACTGAAAAGTTCAATGACCATTTATATAATTTATCCTAATTTTCTAACTGTGGTTTAAGTTGGGGGACCATATTGCAAACGGAATAAATGTTGGGGGACTGTATTGCAAGTTTTAAATGTTGGGGGACCTAAATGCAAGCTTCTGAAATGTTCAGTGACCATTACTATACTTTATCCTATATTTTATCCTATATTCTAAAAAATTCATTGAATGACCATAATGATAAACAAGGCCAACCCTTAGGGGAGCATCTTGAGTAGTAGCTGAGGGCCCCAATTTTTGTTTTATAATTGGGGCACCTTAATTTCTATATTTATAATTTGGTTCCCTAATTTTTTCTCAATTTCATAAAATTTTTAATTTTTTACTTTAATTTTAATTCCATATTTCTTATTGATTCATTAAATTTTGAATTAAATTTAATCATATTTTTCTCTCTTTTTCAAATCTCAATTTTAATTGATCAAATATTCCTTAACTTTTAGTATTCTCTAATCTCAATCTAACGATAACATAATAGATCATTCTTTATTATTCGAAATCAAGCTCCGTATCATACCCGCATTCAAATTTTTTATATTATTTCATAGTTGTATTTAAGGTATTTTCTTAATAATATAATGAAAATGACGTGATTGACAAAATTTAATCATTTTTATGATTTTATGATTTATTGATGTAATATTAAATTAATTACAAAGTAACTTTAATTTTATAGGGGTCTATTTTTGAGTTTTCGTTCAAGGCCCCAAAAATGTATGAGACGACTCTGATGATAAAAGGGAATATTATTCTCCTGAATATCTAGATTTGAATAGCTATATTTACGGACACTTAATAAAATTTCTAAACAAATACTACCTTATAATCACCTCATACTATTAAAAAATGTTCTCAAGTTTTATACATACACACAATGAGCATTGAAGTTTGATTATATCTCTTTATTTCCCCCTTTTTTGTGTTAATAAAATTCATTAGATATAGCATGAACCAAGCGACCTCGATGGTAAAGGAATTGTTGTTGTTCTTTAAAGTCTCGGGTTTGAGCAACTTGAATGTTAGGAGTGTAAGCGTTCAATGTCAAATGGTTGAAAATTATCTCTGAACAAATACTACATTATATTTACCCTAGATTAATAAAAAAAAAAAAAAGAATTTCATTGAATCTAAATCAAGTTTATATAACAATAAATCACCTTTCTTTCATGGTAAGATTTCATTTCCTTTACAAATGTACAACAACAAGAATAATAAATGTTTATTCCAAAGATTTACGTCATAAAATGTAGTGATTTGGAGCTGTTAAGTAACAATCAACATATTTGGCAAGGTAGGTAAGGGTTAGTTGTTCTATGAAAGGTCAAATAGGATATTTACCTACTAAATATAATCAAATCCCTTCATGACAAGGTTAACTTGTAAATAGGGATATCTCCCCCAAATCTCACTTATTCAATTATACTTATCCCTTATGCCCTTATGTTTAGAAAATCAAACACAGAATTGTGTTTTATTTTCATCATTTCCTTGTGTCTCAAGGAAAATAACTGATACAATTAATCTTAAGTTTCAAATTTACTGAAACCTTCATTGCATATATTCAACATTTTTCAACATCAGTAAACAAGTTACATCTCAGCTATTTATAACCCCTCTCTCATTTCGCCACACTTCTTTATTCTAGAAAGTTAGACTGTTAGGTTTTTGGATAGCTTGCTTTTAAAACATTGCATAACTTTTTTTTTAATAGTCATTTACGCACACCCACTCTATAAACGCAACTGTTTGAAACCGAAATTTCTAAGAAAAACAATACTTCTCTTAACTATTAAGGCCACTTGATGATTTAGTCTTCCATAAATTTAATTCTATTAAAAATAAAGTTTAATATAAACGGTCTGTTTACCCTAAGTGAATTGTTATTAAATTTAGGGCAAGGTACATAAATGATCCCAAACTATAGGACAATGTTTTATTGAGTCCCCAACTATTAAAAGTTACAAACATGGTCTCCCGACTATAGGACACAACATTGTTGAGTTCCTTGAGTATTAAAAGTTATAAAATGGTCACTCAACTATTCTTATGCTCTAAACTCGTATTTTTTTGTTAAAAAAATTAGCGATTGTTTGAGTTGGACATTAACTTGTTGACTAAGATATGAAAAAATTTGATCCAAGAATCGTTTGAGTTGTATTTTGTGGATCAACTCTCTGTTTATATTATGTCGTCAAACAAATTTTTGAAACATTATGCCATTGAGCTAGTGCTTAAAAGCAACGGTGGTGTCAATAAACATCATTAAAATATAATTTTATCATATCCTAAACAACAGGTTAACATCTAACTCAAACGGTCATTGATTGTTTTACGAAAAATGATGAGTTCGAAACATATGAATAGCCAGGTGACCATTTTGTAACTTTTAATAGTCAAGAGACTAAAAAAATCACCATATACTCGAGGAACATTTTGTAACTTTTAATAATCGATAGACTCAACAAAATAACGTCCTATAATCGGGAGACCATTTGTATCCTTTACCCTTAAATTTAATTATTGATAATGATAAACTCTTATTTTTATTTAAACTTCTCAATAATTGATAATCACATGATTGTTTTAATTATATTTAGAGTCGAACCAAGATAAACATCGTGAACGGTTCATGTTTGCAATTTCCCTTAAACTTTAGCTTTTTATGGAACACATTTTTTCTATTAAATGGAAATAGTCCTACCTAACGAGTAACAAATAGTCTTGACTTTTTATCATGAGACAGATATAACTATCTACTAGTTTAGCAACAATATGATTTTATAATTCATTTTTGGGTGCACTTTATATATAGAAAGAGAGGGGTTAGGATTTACTTACACAATATAAAACTTTTTAGTTTTACATAAATTTAGGATTGTTGGATGAGTGAAAATAGATGGCTAAGATTGACTCATTTATTTCCTAGTGAATAGCTTATCATTTCTTATTGTTAATCTCAGTCATCTATTTTCACTCTTCTAAAGGTCCTAAATTTGTGTAATACCAAAATAGTTTACATTGTGTAATAAGATCATATCCCTATATATATAATTTCAATTAGATTTATCTTTAGCACGAACCAATCGACCTCAATGATAAAGAAATTAATGTTATTTCTTGAGGTCCCAGACTAAAGCAATATGAATGTCAAGGTATGAACGTTCAATGTCAAACAGTTAAGAGTTATCTTTAAACCAATATTATTTTGTACTTACCCAAAATTAATAAAAAAAAATAGATGATCTTCATTAGATTGAGGCATTTTAGAAACATTTGTGAGCATATTTATTGATTGGTGATTGGGTGTGTGACTGAATATTAATACAAGTTCGACACTAATTTGTCCCCTTAAAACATATACATCCAATAAGGTCAAACCCCCTCGTTACTAATTCGAGAAAGAAACAGCTATTTTTCACTCATTTCGTGTATAAAACCATCTGCAACTAACTTGTTTTATATTCGTCCACTGCCTTTAATTTCTCCTGTGGTCCTTTCTTTCTGAAATTGCCATAATTACCAAAAATGTGCACCACTTGTTCCATGAATTGCAGAAAAAAGACAGTTTCAATCAAATCATTTCCATGGCTAATGTATTACTGAAAAAATCCAAGAACATTAACAGTTTAGAAACAAGTCTTTCTGAATATATACATATATAGAACTTTGTTTATTCATTACAGAATGGCCTCGAGCCTGATATTTTTTGTTGTTTCTGTTTAAATCTAATGAACCAATTCTTAAATGAGAAACAATAGCTGTATATTACTCATGATGTATTCAATCCCAAGGCTGCTTAAGAGATGGACCATGTCTGAGGTGATGCCTGGCTGCAAATCAGCAACAATGATGATGAATAAAATGAAAAAAAATTGTACAATAATGGAAAAAAATTAAACTAAGGGTAAATTACGCGTTTAGTACCTAAACTATCAACTCTGGTCCATTTTAATACCTAAACTTTTAATTTTTTTCAAAACCATACCCAACAATTAGTTTTTGTTTCATTTTAGTACCTCGTTGTTAAAAACTTAAGGGTACAGCATTTTTTATGGGTTACATCATAATCACTCAACCATTTTCTCATTCCTATTTTGGTACTAAAGTTTAAAAATTTTCAATTTAACTACTCAACTTTCAAATTGCTTATATTTTAATTACTCTAATTTATTTTATTTATAATTTTTGTGTCATGGCATTTTTATTATTATTTTATCAATATATAATTAAAAATAAAAAATAAATTTGGAAGTTAGAGTGATTAAATTAGGAGTAATTTTAAAGTTATGTAATAAAATTTAAAAAATAAATTTTAGTGACCAAAATAGGAGTGGGAAGATAGTTGAGTGATGAATGATGCAATTTACCGATAAAAAGGTGCCACGTGCAAATCACTAGTTAAGTTTTTTAACGACGAGGTATTAAAACGAAACAAAAACTAAACGTTAGGTATGGTTTTAAAAAAATGGAAAGTTTGGATACTAAAACAAACCAAAACTGATAGTTTAGGTAAAAAATACGTAATTTATCCATAAACTAATGATATATGTGCTTACTCTATGATATCTCTCCAAAAAGAGTCACGTGCTTCATCATCCACAAGATCTCCCCAAGCTTCAAAGGTGGTTGAAGTAGATGAAGGGTTAGATATATCATTTGGGTTGATTTTGTTGTTTTTGGTTTGGTTTGAGGCTGGAAGTAATGCTGGAAGCTGAGCTGGCCGATTTGAAGGTGGAATATTAGCAGCAGATGAAGTAGAAGATGGGAATTGATGGTTGTTGTTGTTGTTGTTTGAGTCTTTCAATGGCTGATGATGGTACTCACTGAGCTCTGATTGATGTTGAGAAGCTTCTATGTTTACAAAATTTGACTGCAATTGAGTAAGCTCATGTGCAGTTGCACCAAATGGGAGATTATTATTTTCTTGGAGATGGTAATTGTCCCTGAAACTTGGTCCTGCTAGAAAGTTCATTGCTTCCATGGTTGTAGTACTAGTACCCAGAACTTTAATCATGTTATGCAACAATTGGATTTTGGCAAGAGCATCAGATGGCAACATGAGAGCACTGTCCAAATGAAAATTACTCATCATGATCAGATTACTAAAGTTTGCAGCAGCAAGCAACTGAGGCAGGTTAGCTAGAATGTTGAGATCAGTTTTGGGCCGGTGAGTGACCGGATCGATCCCCATTTGAAGAAGCTTCTTCTTCAGATGTGTGTTCCAGAAATTCTTAATCTCATTATCTGTTCTTCCAGGAAGATGGGATGCTATTGCAGACCACCTGCCAAGCCAATTATTGCAGTTTTAAAACAAAAATAATAACCTAGAGTTAATGTAGTATTAGTGCTTACTTATTGCCAACAGCAGCATGAAGATTGATAATGGTGTGTTCTTCTTCCTCCGAAAACCTTCCTCGTTTAATATCAGGCCGGAGATAATTAGTCCACCTAAGCCTGCAACTTTTCCCACACCGATTTAATCCGGCAAGCTTTGGAAGCGCTCTCCAGCTTCCATGTCCATGTCTCTGAATGTAATCTATAAGAACTCGGTCCTCCTCAGGCGTCCAAGGCCCTTTCTTCAACCCATTTTTGACATTATTGCTAGGCAATCTCCCCATTATTCCTTCCCTGCAACAACAAAATCAGCATTTATATACATATACATATACATATAGATATACATATACATACATACATATATATATAAATACATATATATATATATATATAATGAGAAAATATTAGAAAGGTATTGAAACCTTTGGAGAAAATTGAAGAGCCGAAAGTTGAAGATATAGATAGCATCGGAAAGGTGACTGAATGGGAGCTTCTTTATATAGTGTGTTATGTTGAAGGAAAAAAACGACCAAAATCCTGAAATGGTACAATAGAGGTATTTGCTTTGTAGGATCTTATCATATCATATGTCATCTTAACATTTATTTCATAGAATCATTATGAAAGATAATTACCAAGTTACCCTTGTCTCGTCAACAAACAGGAATGAACTGAGTCCTCGTCTTCGCTAAAAATTTATAATTATCATTTATTTTTAAATTTTTTCTTTTAATTTTTTATTAATAATTTATTTTCACTCTTTAGAATTTAGAGTAAAATACACAAATGGTCCTTCGACTATTATAAATTACAAAATGGCTCCCCTACTATAGGGTGTTATTTTGTTGAGTCCCCTGATCATTAAAAGTTATAAAATGGTCACTTGACTATTCATGTGTTCTAAACTTGTTGATTGAGATATAATAAAATCATATTTTAATGATGTCTAGTGACATCGTTGTTGCTTTCAAGCACTGGCTTGACCATATAATTTTTTAAGCATTAGCTCGACGACATAATGTAAACTGAGAGTCGATCCATGAAATATTGCTCAAACGATTATGAGATCATATTTTATCATATTTTAGTCAACAGGTTAACATCCAGCCTAGACAATTGCCATTTTTAACGAAAAATGACAAGTTTGAAACATATGAATAGCTGAGTGATCAAATTGTAACTATTAATAGTCGGAGGACTTAACAATGCATTGTCCTATAGTCGGTGGACCATTTTATAACTTTTAATAGTCTAGAGACTCAACAGAGCATTGTCATATAGTCGAGAGACCATTTGTGTACTTTACCCTAGAATTATTTAAGTTTGTCCCATCTTAAAATTTTAGAAGTTTACTTCTAACATAAATCTTATGTCTGTCTCTATGTACAAAGTTGATATCTTTCTAATAAGAATTCAACTATAAAAAAAAGAAATGAAAATTTATTTACTCAAAGTTGTGTAATGATTTAAAAAAATCATATATATTAAAAATTTTAATTGTTACAAATCTCATAATAAGAAAGCTTGAACTTTAAAAATTCTAGAAATAAATTCTAAATCATAAAAACTTATATTCTAACTCTTAAATTTTAAAATAGATATATTTATGTAAACTAAATTTTACACCACTAATTTATTAAATAATTTTTCAAAAATAAATATCTAGTTAAAAAGAACAGATTTTTTTTTTGTTATTAACTAGCTAACAATCTACAAGTTTAAAGAAACTTTTAATATAATAAAAATATCTTTAATTGTTTTTTTATATATATAATTGAAGAACATTGCCAACAAAACGAGAAGCACGGTTAAGTCATAAACCAACGATGGAAATGTAGCAACTCCAACTATTGAGGATGCTAGAAATGTTTTATAAAAGAATGACACACAAGTTGGCGACAATGAAGCCTCCATGATAGATGCAGAATTTCCCACAACCCAGAAAATGCTGAAAACGCCCTTGATGACAAGCAACTCGTTGGCTTTTTGAGAGGAAGGTAAAATTGCTTGTGTTACTATTGTAGTTAGGCCGCCTGAGAGGCTTGAAACTTTGTATGCAGATTTTGTAACTCATTCTGCAAGTCATGATAAGCCTTGTAGTACGTTGGGTCGCATATGGTTTGTTGTCGTTAGCTAGGAAACCAGACATCTCAGATGGGTTTGAAGAAGAAGATGGGAGATAAAATTGGTAATTTCATTCTTGGGGCTCATCTTGACTGATTCGTTTTTTCCAGGTGGTGTTTCATGCTCATTGTACCAATTTTTGATGAAAAAATTAGGATTGTTGCGACTATTGGCAGTTCATTCCATGTTGTTTGGGTGAGAGGCGCAACTGGTTTTTCCACAGAAGAGAAAGATATGGCTATCGAGTTGAAAATGTTGATGAACAAGCATAAGGAGATAGATATAGAGAGAAAACCCAAGAGAAAGAGTGCTCCTCCATTTTTTAACTTTGCGCGGTGACTTTTATATTATCCCTTAATGTTGGTGTCAAACATAAAATATGATGATTATTTGTAAGTTTAGCGGTGACTTTTATATTATCCCTTAATGTTGGTGTCAAACAAAATATATTTAACTTTCAGACAGTAAATTATAAATCAAATGGACCTGTCAAGTTACGTCAAAATTTATAACTATCCAAAATATATTGTCCCTTAATGTTCGTGTCATAGGATATAATAATTATTTGTAAATTGACTGATCAAATAGATTTAACTTTCAGACATTAGATTGTAAATCACATGAACCTTCAATAATCACATCAAACACTTTTCATGAGGTTCAACAATTTTCATTAAACTACAAGTAAAAAAAAAAATAGAAAACTCTGGTTTTCAAGGGTCATTATGGGAAATTGGGAATAAAAAAATATGAAACAAATTATACGTTCCCAAATTTCAACACTATTTTTACAAAGACTTTCACTTGTGGACGAAGGCAATGGATTAGGGTACGTACGCACCATTTAGCCACATTTCTGTGTAATTTACGCAACGAAAAACACGTCAGCAACGAAACTTTACCAAAGTCGCAGTTAACCAATGCACGTATACCTAAATTTCTCTTCTATTGGTTCACCGGAGAAGAAAACTCCCTTAATTATAAGGGTAAATTATAAATTTCATCATTGAACTTTAAAAATTTTCAATTTCCTCACTGAACTTAATATATTGAGTTTTTTAACTCACTCCATCGTTAAATAGTTAACGGCTTTAAAACGATATCATTAAAAAAAATAAAATTTTCACCAAAATAATGTCATTTTACATATATATATATAACAACCAATTTATAACATGGTTTTTGAGAAATCGGACGTTTGACCAAAAAACCTCAATGTATTAAGTTCAGTGAGAAAATTAAAAAGATCTAAAACATAGTGAGTGAAATAGGAGAGAAAATAAAGTTTAATTACCAAATTTATAATTTACGTAATTATAAAATAACATTTAATCTTAATCTTATTTCGGTATAATTTAATCTTATGTTATTACTTAATTATTTTTTGTTTATTATATGTAACTATGTGTAAAAATGCACGCAAAGGAAGAACTAATTCAATCGTCAGATTGGACCCACCAAACCTTAACGACTTGTTTTGTCATTTCAATTTGATCTTAATTAATATATATATATATATATATATATATATATATATATATATATATATATATATATATTAAAATCAACTTGAAAAAGATCCAAACTATTTGGACTTAATTAGTATCTATGAATATGGCTAAAATAATATGAAATATATAAATATTTAAGTAAAGTACATAAATGGTCCCCCAACTATTAAAAGTTAAAAAATAGTCTCTCGACTATAAGACGTTACTTTGTTGAGTCACTCAACTATTAGAAGTTACAAAATAGTCACTTGACTATTCATATGTTCCAAACTCATCCCTTTTCATCAAAATTATGCGGCCGTCTGAGCTGGATGTTACATACTCATTGGGATATGATAAAGCCAGATCCCAAAATCGTTTTAGCTATATTTTGTGGATCGAGTCTTTGTTTACATTACTCCATCGAACTAGTAGTTGAAATGACAAGTTGTTTAGTCATTGCTTGAAAGTAATAATGGTGCATTAGACATCACTAAAATATGATTTTATCACATCTCGATAAATATGTTAACATCCAGTTTAGACGACCTTCAATTTTTAACAACACTCTATAGTCGAGGGACCATTATTATACTTTACCCTATTATTTTTTTATGAAAACATATAGAAGAAAAGAAAGTTGAAAAGTTGATGAGACGTTTCCTCCATATGTGAAAAAGTCCTAAGGCAATTAATCCCACGTTAAATGCCTCAATTTGGTGAACTAAAACAATTATGGTGATTTAAAGAATCATGGTACATGGGCGGAGCTATGCTTTAGATAAGAGTGTAACCCCCTTAGACCGATGTGGGTAACCCGATCCGATCTGGAGTGTCACATTAGGCCACCGGAGCAACCCACCGTAAAAAATAGAGGAAAATTTAAAAATCTTATTAAAACATGTAAACTCATAAAATCATTTATAAATACAAAAGTAATATTTACCAATATTCAGAAATAAAACATATTTTCATACTCGTATATAAAACAAAATACAACCTACAAGCCCCCTAATCACATGTACCATACTTTGTCAATAACGGCGGAGAATCTCCCTTACGGATGTCCATAGCTGCATTGATTCAATCCTTTTAACCTGTAATGGTGAGTAACAGGGTGAGCTTTGGAAAGCACAGTAATACAAAACTACCAAATGATACTGAAGAATGTGCAGATAACAGATAAGCATAAACTTCCTTATTGGTTCAGACATCTAAGGTTTTATTTATGTTGAGCGGAGATTCTACTGATATTTCAGGTAGTAACAGACAATGAGCGTTCAGTTCAGGGAAACATTTCGAATGAATAAGTTCAAGAGATCAAAATAGGTTATCTAGTGTGTTCCCACAAAACTATTGAAAAGATACAGATCTTTTTAAAACATGTTTTTCAAAAATCCTAATAATCCCTCCAACCGCTACACATCATAATGTGTAGGTTTCCCAGAACCATAAACCTAACCACATACCCAGTAAGGCCCTGAGCACAAAGCCGAGGAACCTGCAAATATACTCCCTCCAACAATAACCCCAAAATAAAACATTTTTTCATCAGTAAACGGAGATATCAGAAATCAAAACAGAATTCAGAGTATATCTCAGAACAAAATCTAGGTCAGAAATCAGAATTGAATTCAGATCAGGTATCAGAATAGAATTCAAATCAAAATTTAGATAAAACATTCATGTAATTAGGGAACACATTAGAGTTTCCAGATATTATTTAGAGATACTAGATAATCTTATCGGGCAGATAAACATTGATCTTCAGTATGCCGATAGAATGTCAGAATTTAGAATCACTATTGGAAGAGTTCATTAACTGACGAAATCATCAGTTA